ATGGGTTACGTCCACAGCTTGTAGTTTCTTCCTTTAATTAAGTAGGCACAGCAGCTTTTCTGCCCGTCATTCGTGGAGCTCTGACCTGTTGCTAGACCTAAAGGTTTGGTCCTAAACACCAACTGAACTCGTCGGTCCCACCTATTGCTTGTGTTCCTAGCATCACTTGCACAAACTCTTCTCTTACCTGCATACGTTGATAAGCACCGCGTGTGTAAACATTGTCAGTTGAGCTGTATTGGTTACAGCTGTACTTTCATTACTTACAATAGATAAGGCAGTTAAGGTCTCTACTTATTCAGAGTAAGTTTAAAACTTGTCCGGTGGTGTAGTTGAACCATCAATAACGTATAGCTAAAGGACTTGACATTCACAAACATCTCCGCTACGAGACCCACAAACACCACCTTTGAATGGACACAATAGGATAAAACAGTAATTTGGTAATACATGTGCTGTGTGCTTTTAACTTACACGGAGTTAATTGGGCATTCAAAATGGGGTTGAAATAGCAAGTGGGTCGCGGGCCACATTCAGAAGGTTGAGAGGCCGCGTGCGCCCCGTGTCAGCGTGTTTAACTCTCCTGCTCTACCTCTTCATGCTCCCACTTAGTATATTCTACCTATGGCGTTTGACTAGTTTTTCTGTTCACCTTTACTGAGGTTTGAGTTCTTTGGCGTATGTGACGTGTGTGATGGTGTGTCGGTCTCTTCGCCGTCAAGCTTCTTATTGAGACTGAGGTAGTGAAGCCCCTCCCCCTCATAACATCCCCCCCCCCCCCCACAGGAGGGTCCGGTACAGGTGTTGCACATGTTGACACATCAATGGGGAGGTGAAGGTAGGTGACTGTGTACCATTGATAAGACATTGCCGCTCTTGGGTGAGTCATCGTCACGAGTCATTGACGGAACCTCACGCCATCTGGTATTGACCTGACCCTCCCCCTCCCTCCCTTCCCCCCTTACCTTAGGGGTTATAGAGGTAAACTATAATAATCATAAGTTAAGTTAATGTTGACACAACATTGAATTGACGTTCCCAGTTATACAAATATTAAAGAGCAACTTTGACTCAACGTCGACCTTATAACCGCTCTTGGGGTATTGTGCTTACTGGGTTACTCGACCACTTGTCCCTAGCTCTGGTTAAGCAGACACATCTAACGTTTGTGGGGCCCCTTCCTATCTGCGCCCCTGGGGGTGTGGCGTCACTTGTACCCCCGTGGGCACTGGGGCCAGCCAGGTGAGGGAAGATTGAGGTGGCGAGAGGTAAGGTGGTGGTGAGGTGTGTGTCGTCCCTGGCAGGCTGGGGTGGGGGAGGTGGTGGGGGTTCTTGCCTGGATCTGGGTCAGTAAGTGTTCCCCCCCCCCCCCACACCACTGGACCTAGACCCCCCCACACCACTGGACCTGGCGCTAGCTGGGCCAGGCGGGACCACTGGGCCAGAGGAAGGCCCTGCGCGGTCTCCCTGCCGTGTCTGCGGCCAGTTTCCAATACCATTCACTTCTTGCATTTACTCTCGGCATTACTCGCCTACTAGTTATTGTGTGGGTTGAGCTTCAGCTCTCTGGTCTCGCCTCTTTATTCAGCTGGTGGGCAGGTTCCTGGGCATATTTAACGCGAATTGTGAATACATTTAAAGTATAATATAGTGTATTACAAAGGTATTCACAATTCGAGTTTAATTTGCTGGGGAACCTGTCCACCAGCTGAGTGGATGAGACTGGTGGATGCCTACGACTAGTGTGTGTTCATTCAGCCTTAACAGTGTTTATCAGTCCGCGTTCTTGCCTCTCTCGAGAAGTTTGTATATGGTGATGGTTCCTCCAGCGACGTGGGAAAAGCACCGCTCCTGTGTCGGGTAAGCTACGGGCTCACCATAGCCCGTGCTACTTGCCCCTCTCCTGTGCCAGGTAAGCTACGGGCTCACCATAGCCCGTGCGACTTACCCCGCTCCTGTGCCAGGTAAGCTACGGGCTCACCATAGCCCGTGCGACTTACCCCGCTCCTGTGCCAGGTAAGCTACGGGCTCACCATAGCCCGTGCTACTTGGAACTTGTTCCGAGTAGCTGAATCAATAACAGCAGCAGAGTCGTGGTTTAATTTGTAGAGTCGGTAGTTAAGAAGTCTGGTGGCAGACCTCTGCACTTTCTCTCAGTTGGGTGTGCGGCAATTTTTTTTTTTTTTTTTTTTTACCCCGAGTTTAATTTGTAGTTAATGTCTGGTAAAAGTGGGTTCCATGATAGACAGTTACAGAATTTGGGTCGACATTTGTGAAGGGTGGGTGCCGCGCTTGGCAAGTTGGATATTATAGTTGTCGCTCGGTGGGATACGAACCTGGTTAAGTTGGTTTAGCTAGTAAACATATTGGCCGGGTCCTGGTATTCTTGGCCCGACTTCTGGGGCGACTGCTTAATTCGTTTTCTTCGAAGAAAACGAATTTGATTTATTGTAAATTAAATTGTATTGGATACTAGGGTGTTTTATGCGTACACGTAACGTAACCTTCGCCTAACGTAAGCATGGATAGGGAGTAGATAATAGCCTAAATTACGTAGTGGTGTTGAAGTGATTGCCTCTTGATTCTTCGTATCTGAGGACAGGTTGGTATGCGAGCATGAGACAACGTTCTGAGAAACATTGAGGTGCGGTATGTCTAGACCTGTTGCATAGTCGTCAGGTGTTGCATACCTGTCTTAGTGGCATCAGTCACTCTGACCTATCAATGGCACGGGTCAGGTCCGGTCTATGGCTGGAATACTGCTGCACACTGGCAGCCCCTTTCAAAGCTGGAGAGCCTTTATTGCTAGAATCCACTCAGTAAAACATCAACATTACTGGGATCGACTGAAATGACTAAATCTGTATTCTCTAAATCTGGAGGCAGCGTGGGGGTTGATTTTTTTTATTTGATTGTTGCCGCCGAATGCGACTAGTTTATTGTGCACCCCATACTCATCCTGTGAGCGGTAGCGCAAAAAGCATTACAGAGGGCACAAAAGGTCTTTATCAGACCTCATCTTAGATTATTACATAAACAATTTCTTCTATCCTTCACACCTTATAGTTACAATGTCAGCTAGTTACAGAGAAAGTGCTATTGGGGGGAGGCAGGGTGGGGGTGAGACATCAATGGGAGGCAGGGTCGGGGTGAGACATCAATGGGAAGGAAGGGGGTGAGGCAGTGGTGGATGGAAGAGGGGAGTAGGGAGGGCGGTGTGGGCGCAGCATAGTAAACAGCCGCCATAGAGGGGAACTACTGTATAAAATCCATGGGCCACACATTAGGGTGGCGGGTTGGTATAGAGCCGTGGCGCCGCCGCCAGGAGTGTAGGCACTGGTGGAGGCACTCGGGCCACAGGGGAAGGGGGGTGGAGCACCTGGCGGAAGGGGGAAGGAAAGACGGGGATGGGATGAGGGCCATTAGGCTGCCGTAACGAGCAGTACACGGGTTCAGGACGGGGGGCCTCCGTCACTCATGTGGGGGCACTCCTCGGCCAAATGCCTTTTAGATGTAGTTGTTAACGAGGGTAGTGTGATTTTAAATTTTTAAATTTAAATTTTGCCCCGAGGGGCAAGTTTCATCTTGTGAGTGGACACACCGCCATAGTGACAGTATTGGGCAGCGCCACTCGTCCTGTGAGTGGACACACCGCCATAGTGACAGTATTGGGCAGCGCCACTCATCCTGTGAGTGGACACACCACCATAGTGACAGTATTGGGCAGCGCCACTCGTCCTGTGAGTGGACACACCGCCATAGTGACAGTATTGGGCAGCGCCACTCATCCTGTGAGTGGACACACCGCCATAGTGACAGTATTGGGCAGCGCCACTCGTCCTGTGAGTGGACACACCGCCATAGTGACAGTATTGGGCAGCGCCACTCGTCCTGTGAGTGGACACACCGCCATAGTGACAGTATTGGGCAGCGCCACTCGTCCTGTGAGTGGACACACCGCCATAGTGACAGTATTGGGCAGCGCCACTCATCTTGTGAGTGGACATACCGCCATAGCAGCATGTACAACACTTCCCAATAGGAAGAAAACCCGCTGGGTTGTTCATCCCGGTGTGATGTGGCGTTACCGGCGGCCGGCGTAGTGCGGCTCCTGGCCCTCCGCACCGTCAAGTATCAGGCCAAGTATCCTCGGTGAGTGAGGAAGTATCTTTGGTTTTGAGAAGTATCCTTGGAAGTGAGTATCTTTTTATTTTCCAGCAGCTTGCGTACACTGCCCGTCGCTAATGCCTCCACACAGTTGCCGCTGGACATGCCTGGCTCTACGCCCGGCTCGGGCAGTGGAAAAACCCGCGAAACCAACCTCTGAACAGGTAAACACAAGCAAAATGGGAACCAGCGTGAACATTTTGGAGTGATTTGATAGTGCAAATTCTCTCGCAAGTCAAGCCTGGCCTCGGGCCGGGCTTGGGGAGTAGAAGAGCTCCCAGAACCCCATCAACCAACCAGGTATCAACATCTACCCTGTATTGGTTCCGGGAATGCTTGTCTCCACGGCCCGGTCTCTGACCCCCCAGGCCTCCTGGTTGGTGTTACGGTCAACCAGACCATTGTGGCAATGGGTCGCTATTAAGCCAAATAGTTCTGTTAATTGTGCTAATTTGTTGATTTTTAAAGCTCATTTTTGTAGTGATTGTAAACAACTTTAGCTGCAGTGGGGGATTTACATCTTGGGGGACATGAGTGATTGAAGTAATTTGCTTCTCATTTGAAACCAATTTAATCCAATTCCAAGTTATGAATTGCTTAGGTGCGTGCGTGCAAGAGTGAGGGAGAGCGCGCTACCCTTATCGACAGGAAAGGTAGCATAAAGTTAGGCTTACAAGGATGTGGCGTGTGTGTGGAGGGACTCCAGGTACATCATACAATAAAGGTACATTGTACCTGGATTGTACCTTGATGAGGTACAATCCGCTAGTGTTGGGCTGGAGCACAAGGGTCCCGCTCGACTGCCGTTGGTGGTGTAGCTGTCCCCGCCGCCGTCAGGGGAGGGGTGGCCGGGGTCGGGCCGCCGCCGCCGTCAGGGGAGGTGGAGCCGTGGTCGGGCCGCCGCCGCCGTCGGGGGAGGTGGCCGGGGTCGGGCCGCCGCCGCCGTCGGGGGAGGTGGGGCCGTGGTCGGGCCGCCGCCGTCGTCGGGGGAGGTGGCCGGGGTCGGGCCGTCGTCGGGGGAGGTGGCCGGGGTCGGGCCGCCGCCGTCGTCGGGGGAGGGGTGGCCGGGGTCGGGCCGCCGCCGTCGTCGGGGGAGGGGTGGCCGGGGTCGGGCCGCCGCCGTCGTCGGGGGAGGTGGCCGGGGTCGGGCCGCCGCCGTCGTCGGGGGAGGTGGCCGGGGTCGGGCCGTCGTCGGGGGAGGTGGCCGGGGTCGGGCCGCCGCCGTCGTCGGGGGAGGTGGCCGGGGTCGGGCCGTCGTCGGGGGAGGTGGCCGGGGTCGGGCCGCCGCCGTCGTCGGGGGAGGTGGAGCCGTGGTCGGGCCACGTTTTTCGGATTTCTAGTTTTATGGAAAACAATGAATTGCACAATCCAGGACAACATGGATTTAGAGCGGGAAGATCCTGTCTGTCACAGTTACTCAACCACTATGACAAAATCACAGAAGCCCTAGAAGAAAAGCAAAATGCAGATGTTGTATACACAGACTTTGCAAAGGCGTTCGACAAATGTGACCATGGGGTGATAGCTCACAAAATGAGGTCAATGGGAATAACTGGAAAAGTAGGACGCTGGATACTCAATTTCCTGTCGAACAGAACACAAAGAGTAACAGTCAATCAGATAAAATCGAGTCCAAGCGATGTTAAAAGCTCTGTACCTCAAGGTACAGTCCTTGCACCGCTACTGTTCCTTATTCTCATATCTGATATAGACAAAATACACGCCACAGCTTCGTGTCGTCCTTTGCAGATGACACAAAAATCAGCATGAAAATTACCTCTGCTGAAGACATTGAAAAACTACAAGCAGATGTCAACAAAGTTTTTGATTGGGCAGCAGAAAATAACATGATGTTTAACAGTGATAAATTTCAGGTACTCAGGTACGGTAAAAATGAGGATCTGAAACATAATACAGGGTACAAAACACAATCGAATCTTCCCATAGTAGGAAAACAGCATGTCAAGGATTTGGGAATAATGATGTCCGACGATCTAACGTTTAGGGAGCATAACCAAGCAAATATCGCGTCAGCCAGAAAAATGATCGGATGGATTACGAGAACTTTCAAATCCAGGGATCCCATCACAATGGTTGTACTCTTCAAGTCACTTGTGCTGTCCCGTCTCGAGTACTGCTCAGTACTCACTTCCCCCTTCAGAGCAGGAGAGATTGCTGAAATAGAGGGAATACAGAGAACATATACGGCACGCATAGACGAGATAAAACACCTAAATTATTGGGATCGTCTCAAAGCTCTCCAAATGTACTCTCTAGAAAGGAGACGAGAGAGATACCAAATAATATACACCTGGAAAATACTGGAGGGTCAGGTCCCAAATCTACACAGTAAAATAACAACGTACTGGAGTGAACGATATGGAAGAAAATGCAAGATTGAACCTGTGAAGAGCAGAGGTGTCATAGGCACAATCAGAGAGCACTGTATAAACATCAGGGGTCCGCGGTTGTTCAACGTCCTCCCAGCGAGCATAAGAAATATTGCCGGAACAACCGTGGACATCTTCAAGAGAAAACTGGACGGTTTTCTAAGAGAAGTTCCGGATCAGCCGGGCTGTGGTGGGTACGTGGCCCTGCGGGCCGCTCCAAGCAACAGCCTGGTGGACCAAACTCTCACAAGTCGAGCCTGGCCTCGGGCCGGGCTTGGGGAGTAGAAGAACTCCCAGAACCCCACCAACCCCATCAACCAACCAACCAGGCCGCCGCCGCCGTCAGGGGAGGTGGCCGGGGTCGGGCCGCCGCCGTCGTCGGGGGAGGTGGCTGGGGTCGGGTTCCCCATTAATCCTGGCCAGATTACTACCCGCATATTTTGATAATTAACTTGTTTAAGCAGAGCCGCCAAGAGAGAGCAATAATTACCAAATAAATATTATATTATAAAACCAAGTGTTTGGGTAATATATACGCCAGTGGTATTGTGGTGGGTGAAGGGTTAAAGGTAAGAGGTTGTATGCTGGGTTATGTTGGGTGTTATAAAGCCAGGAGTATGCGGGACTCTCCCACATACTCCTGTCTTAAAGATGGCGAGTGGCGGCGCTACAGAGAGCTCTCTTCACCTGAGGTAATGGGGGAGTTGCTTCCTGCAATCTCTAGTCGCTGATAAGTGGTCGTGTTTAAGAAACAATTAGGAAAGTTGGTGAAATAAGTGCTGGAACACATGGCCGGTGGGTTCTTTACGAGTTATCAGGAGACAAGCCTGACTCTTGGTCGGTCTTGGAGTCGAACTCCTCTTGGAACTTACTCCGCCCAAGTCCAGGAAGGACCATTGGGTACTATATATATGATGGAGCTAAGCTAGTGACTGTATAGCACTGCACGGATAAGATGGCTTAATAAGAGCTGGGGGTTATCTTGAGGTTATCTTGAGAGGATTTCGGGGCTTTAGTGTCCGCGCGGCCCGGTCCTCGACCAGGCCTCCACCCCCAGGAAGCAGCCCGTGACAGCTGGCTAACACCCAGCATGTGTGTGCACTTTTTGGAAGGACGGGCACCCAACCACTTAAACATCAAGGCTCGAACGTCTACCATGCAAGAAGCGTGGCCATCAAAATACCGACCGGTATTAAAGGTTGCAATTGGTATTAAAGTTCTGCAATGTGTGTGACTGTCAATCACGGGTCGTTACATCTTGGCGTATATTGATAATAATACATCATACCAAACATACATACTAACGTTGTTGTCTTTTCCCAGGTATGTTGAACACGGCTGCCAGTCCATCACCTGAGTTTTCAAGTTGAGGTAAGAATAGTCAACAGGCTTAGCAGAGTGTGGAATAATGAGGGATAAGAACCAAACAGCCGGAAACCCTCCGGAGACTAGCATCAGTATAAGGCTCCATTTGGAATGGGAGGTAGTCAAGCAATGTTTACTGCTGCACACCGGTTGTGGTGGTGCCTGGGGGTGCCACCAGTGGTGGCCAGGCTCGGCTTGTGATTACTAATGCACCCCCGACAGGTGGCGGGGACCACCAGCCACGGGGCGAGATGCCCGACAGGTAACATCCCAGGTGCACTAACCACCACATGTGTGTGTGTCACAGGTTTTGTGTGTGTGTGTGTGTGTGTGTGTGTGTGTGTGTGTGTGTGTGTGTGTGTGTGTGTGTGTGTGTGTGTGTGTGTGTGTGTGTGTGTGTGGTGGGGGGGGGACACTTTCCCTGTGGCAACTTGTGCCGGCGCGAGGCCCACTGGGGTGCTGTGTGGGGGGGGGGCCGCCCTGCCACCTCTTCTCCCTGGAGTTCTTGTAATATAGTTTTCATATTTTAAATGATCATTCATTATATACAGGCTGCACACTACAATGTACTTTTTAGGCATTTCTTGAAAGGTTTACAGGAATGTGTTTAGCGAGAGAATTGGGAGAGCAGAAGAATGTGTAGCGAGGATCCACGGGTAATGTTTTCCACCTGTGTGGCGGAGCAGGTGTGGCGGGCCTTATTAACCCTGGTGTGCTGACCTTGGCTGTACGTGAGGCTACCCTCGGGCACTGCTCTACTCTCTTCATTCACTAGTTCCCTCTCTGCCAGGCACGGGAGACATCTCCCGTCACGCAGGGTGCAGTCGCACCTCCACAGATCTCCAGTATCAGCTAATGATACAGGTAATGGCTCAAAAGGGCCACCACTTACGGGCTATTCATGCCCGTGCCACCTTTGGGGTGGCTTAATCTTCATCAATCTCTGCCAGGGAGGATAGGCTGCAGCAACAGCATCTTGTTTAAGATTCGCTACTTGGAACAAAAAGTTCCAAGTCTTTTTGACTTGGAACTGTACGAGCACTGTACGACCTGGAACAAAAAGTTGCAAGTAGCACGGGCTATGGTGAGCCCGTAGTGGACTTTCCTGGCACAGGAGCGGGGCTGTAACTTGTTAGCAGCAGGAGCAGCATGACGGCTCAGGGGTCGCAGCAACCCGGTCTCCTAATACAGCGTCGCATTTTCACGTACACTTTACCTAAGGCCAAAAATGGTCGTACTAAAAAATGGCAGCGGCTGGCGAAATTGACATACTGTCCCGTTTTCTGTTTTGGGTCCTCTGGTAGGTCCTACCAGAGGACCCAAAACAGAAAACGGGACAGTATGTCAATTTCGCCAGCCGCTGCCATTTTTTAGTACGACCATTTTAATAAGGTTAGGTTACTTTAGTAAGACGGTTTCTTGACGTTGGGAAACCTTAGGAGGACGGGCTGGGTCGCGGCGCTAATAGTGGGTCAGATGGTTCTCACTATATTAATATTTTCGTCGGTGTAGCCTTGGGAGAAGGGAGCCGGTCGGCCGAGCGGACAGCACACTGGACTTGTGATCCTGTAGTCCTGGGTTCGATCCCGGGCGCCGGCGAGAAACAATGGGCAGAGTTTCCTTCACCCTATGCCCCTGTTACCTAGCAGTAAAATAAGTACCCGGGTGTTAGTCAGCTGTCACGGGCTGCTTCCTGGGGGTGGAGGCCTGGTCGAGGACCGGGCCGCGGGGACACTAAAGCCCAGAAATCATCTCAAGATAACCTCTCAAGATTGGGTATTATTTTGGTTCCGGGATAAATGAATTACCGTGAAGATTGTAGGTGGCGTGGTGGTGTACTCGCCTACTTGTGCTTGCGGGGGGTTGAGCTCTGGCTCTTTGGTCCCGCCTCTCAACCGTCAATCAACTGGTGTACAGGTTCCTGAGCCTACTGGGCTCTATCATATCTACATTTGGTATGACGTGTGACCTCTCACGCCAGGTGTGTGACACCTCTGGCGTGGTGGTGTCACACACTGTGACCAGACAGATGTGTGGAGCCTGGGTGTGTGTGGGGGGGGGGGGGCTGGCCTCCACACCCAACATATTTACGCGTGCACAAATTGCTTTCATAAAAACGTGTTTATAGGTGTACGACCTTGAACACCCTTGTTGTTGTGCATCGTGTCGAGGGTGTGCACGGGCGTGACCTTGTGGGTGTCGACGATGTGCACGGGCGTTATAGGGACACTAAATAGGGACACTGTGTTGTACATGCTGCTATGGCGGTGTGTCCACTCACGGTATGAGTGGCGCTGCCTAATACTGTCACTATGGCGGTGTGTCCACTCACGGTATGAGTGGCGCTGCCTAATACTGTCACTATGGCGGTGTGTCCACTCACGGTATGAGTGGCGCTGCCCAATACTGTCACTATGGCGGTGTGTCCACTCACGGTATGAGTGGCGCTGCCCAATATTGTCACTATGGCGGTGTGTCCACTCACGGTATGAGTGGCGCTGCCCAATACTGTCACTATGGCGGTGTGTCCAACCACGGTATGAGTGGCGCTGCCTAATACTGTCACTATGGCGGTGTGTCCACTCACGGTATGAGTGGCGCTGCCCAATACTGTCACTATGGCGGTGTGTCCACTCACGGTATGAGTGGCGCTGCCTAATAAACTCGCCCCTCGGGGCAAAATTTAGATGAAATTGAGGGAGTTGTTAGTAAATGATTAACAGGAACCAGAGACAGACACGGGAATACCTGGAATGGGTTCTGGGAGTTTTTCAACTCTGGAGGAAAATAAAGCAAGATGTCGAGGCTGATAGCGGCTTTCAATGACCTTTCCTGCGAAGACAAATTGAAGTGTCAGTCTGCACTCTTGAGTGGCGCAGGATAAGGGATGTGATAGAGGTTTTCAAGTGGTTACGGGGATATAAACAGTGCCGCTCCAAGCAACACCCTGTTGGATATTATCGTAAGACACCTGCCCCAGGTCGAGCTTGCAGAGTAGGTAACTTCCAGAACTCCAGGTATACTGCAGGTTGTGAAGCTCTCAGAACAGCTCACAACCCACACAATCTGGTAAAACCTAGAGAAATTTCGTTTAAGGAGGGATATAGGCAAGTCCTGGTTTGGTAATTGGGGTGAATGGGCTCCCAACTAGTATTATCGAGACAGTTTAACAGGTTTCAAGAATCAATTGGTACATTGGTGAAGAGGTGCGGATTTAATGGGACTCACCTACTGTGTGTTCTAATCTAATGTTCTTTCTTGCGGATCGGATTTTGCATTGTCGATGTCTTTACGTGTGTGATGTTCTCAGAGTTCTCTCAGAGTACCTGTTGCACCTCTGCTTTTCAAAGGGGGTATTTTGCACATCCTGCCATGCCTTCTGGTCTCATGTGGTGTTATTTCTGTGTGCAGGTTTGGGACCAGCCCCTCTAATATTTTGTAACGGGGGGTGGGGGGAAATAGCTCTATCTTGTCCATTATTCCACCCCCCAGTTAACTAACGAGGCCGGGGGAAACAGCTCTCTCTAGTCCGTTATCCCGTCCCCAGTTAGCTAATTATTCTAGAGCACTCCCAGAGTTCCTAAGGCAACCTCTCTCGTTCAACACCTTGTAACCTAGGTATTTGACTACCTAGGTGCTAAGACTACAAGGCGCCGTCACTTGATCAGTTACCCGAAACTCTAGAGAGAACTCTAGAATACAAAATCATTACCACAAACGTATAAGAGAAAACGAAAGGAAAGAAATGAATAGTGAAGTAATTAGTGAGGGTTTGGGGTGAGAGGCAGAGAGGTGGGAGGAGCGAGAAGGGTCATTAGTTGAAAGTGAGAGTTCAGAGAGGGGTGGAGGGAGAGGTGTAGATAGGTAGTAGTAGAAGAGTAGATAGAAGTAGAAGAGTAGATAGTAGAAGACGAAATGCTGCCACCATCCATTCTAGACCATTACATACAAGACAAGGAATGGAACTTGCCTGTATCACAAAGTTCTCAAAAGATGTTATCATGAGTTCATTATTAGTATGTTCCCTCTGTACCATGTATCAACTCCAAACATGTACTCATTAAAATCTTGAAACCACAGAGGCTTTCTCACCTCAACTCAAAGCTCTAGGGAACAAAGTTAAACACAACTTAAATAATAAATTCATAATTATATTTCACATGAAGTATCATAATTTAGCAATTCAATTAAAATGTTCCAGTTTAATATGCAAAGTGAGTCATCATCCAAGAATTCGAGAACCCTACAACTTGACTGCCCCTGATCGTCACACAACACTTGTAAAACACGACAAGTCACCTTAATGTTCACTCACCGAGGACTGAGTCTAAGTTGAATAGAGAGGGGGGGGGGTCTGTAGCTTGACAGAGACTGTCTCGCCCCTGCCGGCCGACAGCCTCCCTGCTAGGGACGTCGTCTCCGCTCTCCTGGCTCGTGTGCTGTTCTGTCTTGTTCATCCTTTGCTCGATAGTTCTCCGAGTATTTATTGGGGACCCTAGTAGCTAACTTTGCCCACAAATAGATAGCCTCCGGCACTACCAAGCCACTCCTTAAACGTCGGCTTGTTTGAAGGCTACCAGACTACAATTAAGAGCTTAGCGGAAGCAAGGTGAAATTCTCATGATCTGACCTCAGGTCACTTGAGGTCATTAACGCTTTGAGGTGTGAGATCTCAGGCAGACAACTGGCGCCTCTCAGATCCTTGTCTGTGACTCATGTACTCTATATATATTTTAAATAAACTAACTCAAACACTTTTACAGTGTTACAATTTTCCACGTGTAAATTATTATGCATCTCTCCCGCCTGCGCTCAAGAGAATACAGATTTAGGCATTTCAGTCGGTCCAATAGTTTAGATGCTTTACTGAGTGGATTCTAGCAGTAAAGGATCTCTGCACGCTCTCCAGGTCAGCAATTTCTCCAGATTTGAAAGGGGCTGTCACTGTGCAGCAGTACGCCACACTAGATAGGTATCATCATAATAAGTACAAACATGTACAAGTACCAAGTACCAAAGTATCATCGGTATAGCATCTCTAGTGTGAAAGATTCTTGTTATCCAACCTGTCATTTTTCTTGCAGTTGTGACGGCTACTTTATTGTGTACTTTAAAGGTAAGGTCTTCCAACATGAGTAAACCCAGATCCTTTACATTGCCTATTCGTTCTGTTATGATTTGGCTGAGTTTTGTACGTGGTTTCCGTTTTTATATTTTCATTTTTTTCCGTAGCGCATGAGCTGGAACTTATCTTCGTTAAACACTACGCTAGACACGGTAGGGGTGCGTGCCTGCACACATGAGTGCAGGTGTGCCCAAGACGTCAACAACAACTCTGCAAACCTGCAACAAACATGAGTTGTGCCGAAACATATCACTTAATCGCACCTCTCCCCCCTCCCCCCCCCCGACACTATCAACCAAAATTAGTTGTAAATTTATAATTAAACTTAGACCACTGAGCTAAACTTTTAACTATTAAAGATAAATATTGAAGATAAATCAATCAGCAAGGGTGAAGTCTACGAGGGTTGGGTGAGGTGTATACTAGTTCTGTGCCAGTGTAGGGGCAGGCTTCACCTTCCACAGGTGAAGCCTGGCCCCAGGTTTTACTTGGGAGAAGTCAGCCTTGGGGCGCAGAACTCCCTGACCTTCCCCCTCCTCCTCCCTTACGTATGCTACAGGTATTGTCACTAGTGTTACACACACCTACAGCGTGCCTCTAGGTGTAGCAAGTGTCCAGAACTGGTGTGGGTGAGCAGGGAGCAGCCGCCTCTGTCTCACCATGTATAATGACCACACCACACACTAGAATGTGTTTACGGGCTCACCATAGCCCGTGCTACATGGACACTCCGTTCTGAATAGCTAAATCTTTAACAACAACAACACTAGAATGTGAAGGGACGACGACGTTTCGGTCCGTCTTGGACCATTCTCAATCGACTTGAGAATGGTCCAGGACGGACCGAAACATCGTCGTCCCTTCACATTCTGGTGTGTGGTCTGGTCATCATACTTCAGCCACGTTATTGTGACTCATCGCCTGCTCACCATGTATACTAACAAGGTGCCGCCTTGACCATACGAGTCATAAATACTCATACTCCGCCCAAGTAAAACAGAAACAAGCAACACTTAGTGGGCCAGCCAGAGGCTTAGGGCCCGCGCAGAAATATCCCTGCTAAAAAGAAAAGGTGCCGCCGGCGTGTCAGTAACGGAACAACAGCCACCACTCACCAGTCTAACACACTCCTCTACTTATTAGTGCAACTAATCATCTAACATTTACGCAACTTACGAAACATGTACATCTTTCTTTACTCCTGGAAAGGATTTGGGAATAATGATGTCTGACGACCTAACGTTTAGGGAGCATAAGTAAGCAAATGTTGAGTCAGCCTGAAAAATGATAGGATGGTTTAAGAGAACTTTCAAATCCAGAGATCCCATCAATGGTTGTACTATACGAATCACTTGGACAATCCCGTCTTGAGTACTGTTCAGTACTCACTTTCCCCTTCAGAGCAGGGGAGATTGCTGAAGTCGAGGGAATACAGAGAACATATACGGCACGCATAGACGCGATAAAGCACCTAAATTATTGGGATCGTCTCAAAGCCCTCCAAATGTACTCACTAGAAAGGAGACGAGAGAGATATCAAATGATATACACGTGGAAAATACCGGAGGGCCAGGTCCCAAATCTACACAGTAAAATAACAACGTACTGGAGTGAACGATATGGAAGAAAATGCAAGATTGAACCAGTGAAGAGCAGAGGTGCCATAGGCACAATCAGAGAACACTGTATAAACATCAGAGGTCCGCGGTTGTTCAACGTCCTCCCAGCAAGCATAAGAAATATTGCCGGAACAACCGTGGACATCTTCAAGAGAGAACTATCTGGTTTTCTTCGAGTGCCGGACCAACCGGACTGTGGTGGGTATGTGGGCCTGCGGGCCGCTCCAAGCAACAGTCTAGTGGACCAAACTCTCGCAAGTCAAGCCGGGCTTGGGGAGTAGAAGAACTCCCAGAACTCCATCAACCAGGTACCAAACAGCATCCCAGGGGCGCCCCGGTGAGGGGAGGATGAAGAACACAAGAGGTATACAAGAGCAGGATGAGGGCCAGGTGGTGGGTGAGGGAGGTGCAGGGGAGGGGCGTGACAGAAGCCATACAGCACAACATTCAGCACATGTCCCACCTGCTTCATCACCAACTTCCTCCACCGTCCGGCCCACCTCTACACCGGTCACCCGCATGATTTAGTTTGATATTCGTAGTGTAAATATTGACTCCCTAGACTTGATAAGTTATTGTATAGTTTTATTAAACAGTAGTTTAATTTTATTAGCAGTCTCCGTGGTGTAGTGGTAAGACACTCGCCTGGCGTTCTGCGAGCGCTATGTCATGGGTTCGTATCCTGGCCGGGGAGGATTTACTGGGCACAATTCCTTAACTGTAGCCTCTGTTTAACGCAACAGTAAAATGTGTACTTGGATGAAAAAACGATTCTTCGCGGCAGGGGATCGTATTCCAGGGACCTGCCCGAAACGCTGCGCGTACTAGTGGCTGTACAAGAATGTAACAACTCTTGTATATATCTCAAAAAAAAAAAAAAAAAAAAAAAAAAGAAAAAAAAAAAGAAAAAAAAAAAGTAAATAAGATGAAGAAAAAAAGTTGTAATCAACAGATGTGGGCCGCCTAGACTTTACACACGCACTATACTGAGGGTAAACTTGGTTTACCATCAGGTGCCATACAAGAGGTGGTGAGGGCAACACAAGGGCTACACAAGCACCACACCTCCCAGTCAGGGGGTGAAATACACCTGAGGGAAGATACTACAAATGTTGTAACTGTAAATACACACTATCTGCGTCAGGTTTGACTTGTGATACCTGGATCCGTCATAGGTTTAACGCTGATGCTACGTTGGTTTAACGTTACTAGAGGATGTTGGGCGGTGGGAGGTTGCATCCATGCCGCCAGAGTGAGTGACAGCAGCGGAAGGAACTATTAACGTGTCGGGGATATTACCTCTAGTGTTACCTGTGGCCTTTTGTGTGGGGATCCCCTGCCCCCCCCCCCCCCCCCGGGTCATCATTCTGGGGTGTGTGTCCTGGCAGCCTCCACCCGTCACCACCTGCACCCCGCCTCTATAACCATCCCTTGTTTAATGTACCCACTCTCCACCAGAGATACCAAATAATATACACGTGGAAAATACTGGAGGACCAGGTCCTAAATCTGCACAGTAAAATAACAACGTACTGCAGTGAACGATATGGAAGAAAATGCAGAATAGAACCAGTGAAGAGGAGAGGTGTCATAGGCACAGAGAACACTGTATGAACATAAGAGGTCCGCGGTTGTTCAACATCCTCCCAGCGACTATAAGAAATATTGCCGGTAGGTCTATTGTTTACATTAGGTGAGAGGGGGGGACGGGAGGGGGCCTTAGTGTGCGGGTCAGGTGGCTGGTGTTGCTCCCTTCCTGCGCTGGTTGGTCTCTACTCCCATTGTTCCTCTCTCCTGATGGCTCCAGGCTAATGGTGTGTGTTGAGTGGTGGCCCCTTGTTGATACCTCACCTCTCCCTCCCTCAATGGTGCCCTCCGCTCTCCCTCCCTTCCCGCGAGCGGTCTAACTTCACCCAAATTTTCTGGATGACACATCTGTGGTAGGCGACTGTAATAGGCAGCTCGAGGTGGGCCACCTTGCCTCTCCTCTTAACAGAATGGCGTCCCACTGTGACTGCCAGCGACTCCTCAGCGACGAAGGGTATTGATGAGATGTTTTAGTTCAGATATAACACGCAGTGCAGTCTACCCAGCCCCGCTCCTGTGCCAGGTAAGTTCACTACGGGCTCACCATAGCCCGTGCTATTTGGAACTTGTTCAGAGTCGCTGAATCAATAAGAACAACAACGTTCAGATATGAAGGGAACGCGAGCACAGTGGTATTAGTGTTGGAATCAGGTTTGAGATGAAAGAAATTTCGTTTAGCTTGAGAATAGTGATAAAATGTGAAGAGTAACCAAGGCGAGAGAGAGATTTGTAAATAAAGGAAATTTCAGAACCAAGAAACGGAGGCCACTGATGCGTAGTGCACGGAGGGAGAGAGAGAGAGACGAGAACACTTAACAGAGGATGGTAGGAAAAGAAGTGAATGTACATTGACGTCCAAGTACCTGCTTGATGAGGTTCTGGGACTACTTCTACTCCCCAAGTCTAGGTGAAAGTTCTCATACTGTTTAGGCCGTAAAGGCCCATGTTTAGTGTGTCAATATTACGGCGCTTTTATTTGTATAAATCCACAAGGGCTGTGACGAGGATTCGAACCTGCGTCCGGGAGCATCCCAGACACTGCCTTAATAATTTGATGCATCACGTTAGTGTAATCTGTGTGTGTAATCACTAGAACTTTAGCTCGGTAGTTACAGTTGACACTAACCGTAACACGAACATAGCGTCATTTGATCATCGAGGGTGGTTCCGTGAGGCCCGTACTGTCCCGTCTTGTACTTGTACAAAATTGTACTAGTGCAATCCGTACATTTTGGATTCGTGGTGTAATGGTAAACTGTCAAAAGGATTTATATAAATTGTAAGCTGAATCTTTTCAAAATATTTATAAATGTATATATTAAAGGGCATAGGATTGTTTTCAGCAAGAACATTAAGGTAATACCTGTTTGATGGGGTTCTGGGAGCTCTTCTACTCCCCAAGCCCGGCCCGAGGCCAGGCTTGACTTGGGAGAGTTTGGTCCACCAGGCTGTTGCTTGGATTGTCTTGCTTAGTGGTTTGAGGTGTTTATGTATAGACGTTATCGAATGATTGATAGTGGCCACAGGTGCCGGGAGTGGAGCCAACACCTGTACGCACACCTGTATATCTCAATAATTGCCGTTTTCATCAACTGCCCCAGGTGTTGGACTGACCGGGAGTGCTGAACTGGGATGTGGTCGGTCTCGCTCTCTGGACTGCGAGCAGCCGCACGTCTAACAGCCTGGTTGACCAGCCCAGGAGGCCATGGTCGGGGACAGGGCCCGGGGACGTTGAGCCCCGAAATCATCGCAAGGTGCATTTTATAGTTCGAAACAAATGAAGCTAAAAACCAAACAAATATCATAGGTGTATCATAGCGCACACGCATTAGGCCTCAGATATACAACGGTCAAAGTAAGAGGCTTGGAACTGGGGTACCTTGAGGTGCTTCCGGGGCTTAGCGTCCCCGCGGCCCGGTCCTCGACCAGGCCTCCTGGTTGCCGGACTGATCAACCAGGCTGTTGGACGCGGCTGCTCGCAGCCTGACGTATGAGTCACAGCCTGGTTGATCAGGTATCCTTTGGAGGTGCTTATCAAGTTCTCTCTTGAACACTGTGAGGGGTCGGCCAGTTATGCCCCTTATGTGTAGCGGAAGCGTGTTGAACAGTCTCGGACCTCTGATGTTGGTAGAGTTCTCTCTGAGTACCAGTTGCTGAGTACCTGAGTACAATTGGGATTGCCCAATTTTGCAGGGGAATAGTCTGGGGTATGGGACGGACACAGGTGGCGCTGATGGTCGACTATTATAACATTAGAGAAGCTTGCTACAGTGCCGTGCTGCTTGAAGATGAAGGAAACGCCCAGTATATGTATAATTGTATTACAAACACAATTTTTGTATTTAACCAACATCCAATCTCAAGGTACTGTATACAGTGTTCTATTGTATCACTTGAATGGGAGAGGTGTGGGGGGGGGGGGGGGAGGGGGAGGACAGACAAAAGTGGGCAGAACCAGGTACCCTACAATATATATCTACTAGAGAATGTGGTTGGGGACCAGATGCTTGAGATAACCTTAATTACCCTCTCTCCTCATTAAACTCTGTGGGATTAATGGTGATTTGATCAGGAGTGACATAGAGGGGTGGGGGGGGGGGTGTTCGCCCAGTGTGTCTTAGAAAGCAGCCACTGCCTCTCTGCCTCTCTCACCATGTGTGTAGAACTTCAATATTCAGCCACGATTCCAGAAATTGAAATTGAAATAAGTTTATTGAGGTAAAATCCACACAAAGGGATGAGGTAGCTCAAGCTATTCTCACCCCGTTCAGTACATCGTGTTAATACATACATAGACACACATCACACTTAGTAATTGAATAACAGATGACGGAATGGTCCAGGACGGACCGAAACGTCGTCGTCCCTTCACCTTCTAGTGTGTGGTCTGGTCAACAATAGATGACGGATTTGCATTCTACTGGTTAGTGATGGAAATAGTGTGTAGGGAAAATGGATAGTGATGTGAGGGGGGAGACAGCACCGGGAGATGGGGTTGGGGTGTTGTGGGTGGGGGGGGGATATTTGGAGGAGGGGAGTGTGTGTATATACTCACATATGTGTCTGCAGAATCGAATATTAGCTCTTGGATCCCGCCTTTCTAGCCGTCGGTTGTTTAAAGTAATGACCCCCTGGTCTACTTCCCTGTCATACCTGGTTTTAAAACTATACCTTGAGGTTGCCTTGAGGTGATTCCGGGGCTCAGCGACCCCGCGGCCCGGTCGTCATCCAGGCCTCCTCGAATAGTGTTTGCTTCTACAATGTGGTTCAGAGCATGTAGGGAAGGGAGGAGACGAAGGTAAGAGGCAGAGAGGAGGGAGGATAATAAAGAGGTGAAGAGAGACAGAGACAGGAGAGGCCTTAATGTCTGGCCGCTACAAAATGTAAATAAGGCTGTCCAAAATTTAAGGAAGATGCATAGGTTTCGTAAACGGTTGTGAAAATGCTTGATGAATCCTGGCCAAAGAGAAATTTAATAATGTATTTAGATTTTTGTTAACAGGTCTTGGAGCACACAGTGAGGGGTTGTAGTGGTGAGTGGCCGTGTGTGTGTGTCAGTGTGGAGGCATGCAGCACCCCCCCCCACAAGGGTGGCAGGCCCCCCCCCCCCCACAGTCCAACAAGTGTTCATACATCATACAGCTGATGTATGTGGCTCTGTGCTACAGGGGGGGGGAGCAGGGATCACATGATCGATTTAATAACGTACACGTTGATGGAGAGGGTGTGGGTATCGGAGTGGGGGGAGGGGGAGGTACCGATCCACTGACATTTAGGTACCGTAGGTCTTTTTCTGAAAAGTTTCTTTATTTTATATGTAGCCTAGAGGGACATTTTAAGCTTTTTCTTAACAATTAGTCAATAGTATATATTTTGTAATAAGAGTTCTTGTATTTAAACTTGATTCACTTCCCCACCGTCTTTTTTCCTTGGG